AAAAAAAAAAAATCAAAAAAATAAACCTTCAACACCTTCACTTCGAAATTCAAATCACCTACTAACCGTAAATAATGCTCAATCCCCAACAATATTTTCTAATTAACCCATTTAATAAGATCGCATCATATAATCAATTGAACAAAAAATTATAAAAGATTTGTAATCTTCCATTAAAAAACAAATTTCTGCTTTAAAACTTACTGTTCCTTAAATTCAGGATCCTATCAAATAGGTTCAATTTAAAACTCCTTGTAAGATGACATAATCTTAATAATAACCATTTAATTAGTTATCTGAAGAAGAGGAGGAGGAAGATGATTAGATATTTGTTTGCGGTGGAAAACTCCATTAATGCAAGAATATCTTCAATAACACTTAAGATTACGCATAACACATGAAAAAGTTTCATAAGAATAAAGTGCCTAAAGAAAGTTCCCACACATTAGATGGCTAAATGATTTAATGAGTGTAGCCCCTACACGGCTCCACCAGGACTAAGAATTAGACGCTGTCTTAAGATCCTGGCAATAATCATATTTAGTGTCTCAATTTTAACAATAAAAATAAAAACCCAATCAAATTAGTCACTTGGAATATTTCCTCTATGAAAGAAAGCACGCTAAAATAAGTTAAATTATGTGGCCCTCATTTTTTCTGTCTATAAGAAAGCCGTAATTCTAAGATTTCATCATCACCTAGTTATTAGATTTATATAAACCATCATTCAACCAGTGAGAGATCTGGTGGTATAATCACGGGTATTCACAATAGTTTTGCTTCTAAAGATATTAGTGATATCCTTTAAATTCAAATATAAGTGGAATTTGACTATCTTATAATTAATGCTAGAAACGAATACTTTGATATTTTTCTGTTTAATTTCTACTTTAACAAAAAGTCTACATTCTAGAAATCAAAGACTTAGCTAGATAATTGGTTGAGATAATTCATTCTAAATATTAAGCCTAACCAGTAAATTATTATTTGCGGTGACTTTAATATAAGCTAAACCCCTTTTAATTTTCTAACACCAGCTCTTCCACAGCACTTAATTACATTTTAGAGAAAAAAATTGAACAAAATGATAGAAAGTAGAACTGATCATGTTTTATTACATCCCTATGTCTAATCTAAGAATAATGTCTCCTTTAATTAATTATCAGACCACTCCCTAATAGATATTGAGCTTAACCTTCAACAAAAAGTCAACTAATAATTCTATTTTTATAAATTCAATAAAAAGCGAGCTCAAAACTTAAATAACTTGGCTTCTAGCAAATTTTCTGATTTTACATGTTTCTATAAATTTATACAAAACAACCTCAGGAACTCCAAAGTTATCCAGAAAATTAAAAAGCAAGTTATACCAAAATTAAAAATTAATTCCACCCATAATAATTAAGATGTATTCTAACATATGGGTGACTTATTCTCTAGAGATAAAGTAACATTCTTCCAAACTCTAGAAAAAATAACTATATTAAACCCTTTTAAAAAAAATGGTAGCATTTTTTCATATTTCATTGATGACTCTAATTAACTACAATTTGGAGATATTGCAATTAGAAATTGTCTTACCTAACTTAGTATCATATCGAATGGTCAAAAAGTTCGCCCTTTAAAACTTCCTTCTTTACCCCCCTTAAATACGCTTGATATAATTGAGCTATAAAAGAGGATGTCACGAAATTAAGCAATTAGCTTTGATGGTGTATCTGACAATTTTATTAGGAATTGTAAAAATGTCCGTATTTTCTGTGATATATGGAAATAATCTACAATTGAAATCAACTACGCTTGCTGTAGAGCAAGACTAGTACCTTTAAACAAGGTATTCCCCGATATCCCTACTAAAACTTAGTTTCGACCTATTACAATTCTAAGTCCCCTATTTAAGCTGCTTGAATTAAGATTTCTGCCAAAACTACAACAATATTTGTCCACTCTCTTAACTAAAGGTCAAGCAGGATTCATTCCTGATTCATCTACTCAAATAAATATCATCAGACTCTTAAATACTTTAACTGGTTACTATTTAATATTTTATCTGCT